GACGAGCGCATTTACCAATGGATAAAATCAAAAACCAATTTTCTAATTAGTTTTGATTAAAAAATACTTTCGACTTGGGAGAAAAAAACGACTCACTCTGGGTAGCTCAGGACTCTTTGGCCTCCATGAACTGACAACTAGGGGAGGGCCTAGTCCAGCTCTCGTTATCTCTACGGGAGGGACAGGGCAAAATTTTGCTTGTCCGACGAGTTGTTGGCAGCCATATTGGATTAATTTATACACATTTGCTAAGAGTACCGGTGTATGTATATGAATTGTTGATCTAAATAGCAAGATGGACAAAGAGGTCTTTGTAGGCTAGGGGTTTCTTTGTGATTCTGTGAAAACTTCGATGGAGTCAGAATGTCAACGAGAACATAAGCTTGCAGGGAATCTTTTTTCATTGATGGAAAATCGAAAGTACAAGCTTGCAGGATACACATTTTTATTCATGGATGAGAAAGCTGAAGAAGGACAGAATAAAATAGCATTATCTAGTCGGTAAGTTATGTCTTCGATTATACTCGTCGCTTTTACTCATCCTTTGCGTGAAACATCGTTGCTATAAGCTTTTATTTTTTTTCGGTCCGGTATCCTAGTCTGATTCGCGCCCTAAAAACAATTTTTTTTTCCTCACTTTTAGGATACCTGCACTTGTACAGTCATGATACACAAAACTATGCCTGCGTCTGAAAATGTCGTCACTTTTGATAGAACAATCATGCTATAAGTGGATAGAATTTAACAAATGCAATTATGTACAATCTATGGAGAATCAAAGTATGCTTCTTGGTCTTGGAATCAAGTTAGAATTGATAGGGTAAACAAACATCCAACCCCTGGTATGACTTAACTGAAATCAGAGTGTATTCAATTGCTATTACCATAAGAAACCATATTTTTAGTGAAAATTACATATGGAAGTACTTGTCTTCTATTTCACATAGCTCCAATGTACATGTATAACATTAATATATAAAAAATAATGGCCTTCTTCAGCTGAGTGTTTTATATGCACCACTTCCTATATACAACAAAGCAGCTAACAGAAAACAAAGAAACAATGATTGAACTATGAAAACCTTACAAAAAACCTGACAGGTGTCAGAAAATGGCACACATGTGACAAGTTATTAAAGCTTACAAATTATAAGTAAATTCAAAGTATAATAGTCAAATGTAATATTTTATTTTTGAAGTAAACACACATCAATGCTTGTACAATATTGAATAATCAAGCTTAGCAATCATACAAGTGTCCATGGTTACACAACTTACAGTTTTCCTTTTTTTCATAGTTTTGCATCACTGTCAATAATAATTAAGTTAAGAATGTCAAACCCAAAGTCACCTGAAGTGAACAATATTAGCTAGACTGAGTAAAAGTAGCTTACTGGTACATAGCACATTCCTCAATGTTTGCACTTATTTCTCAATCTAGTTAATTGTTAAATACAATTTAAAAATTAAAGCCTAAAAAATAAATAAATGAATAAAAGTGGGATATTGACATCATCTGGGTTAGACATCTACTAGTAAATGTGTGAACTACCAGTACATGTACAATATGTTTACAAAAATCATGATCACTTTATTAATTTTGTTTAATTTAGAGCTTAATGTAAATCAAATGAATTTATATTTGAAATTTGAAATACCAAGAAAATCTTAGTTTAAATTTATAAACTCAACTTACTTCATACAACATAGTCTGAATAGTCTATTCTTGATTTTGTCCACAAACAAAAAAACTCGAACATTCCTGCAGATAACTTTTACTAAATACTAAGAGTCAGATTACACTCTTATACGTTTCCTTGGTCATCAACTTCATGGGAAAGAATTTCATGAATGCCTTTTATGAAATCATCAATGCCTTTTAACTGAAAAGTAAAAGCGTAACCTCTCGCTTCACTGCAGTGGGGGCATTTTTTAGTTAATCCATGGACCCCATCATACCATGTATTAATGCATTCTTCACATCCTAGGATGCTGTTACAACATTTTGTAGCAATGACTGGTGCTTTTAAGGGTGCTTTTAAACATATTTTACACTGGAAGGCATCTTTGATTACCTTCATCAATGCAACTGGTACTGCTAATTTATTATTTACTTCAAGAACYTCTCTAACCAAATCTTTCAATTCACTTATTTCCTGTTTAAGTTCTTGAATGCTCTTATCTGCAGTTTGCCTATTTGGCTTCTTTTTCTTTGGGGGAGCAGCACACTCGTCATCGCTGTCTGAGCTGAAGTAGGTAGTTGGCTTGACAGCGTAAATCTTCCTTGCACCCGATCTCCAAAAGCTCATTCCTGTAATCATAGCAATAGRAAACTATTAAACACCATAATCATTGTACTAAGTATAAATAAAACTATACCTATACCTTAATAATAATACTGTTTATTGGTGAAAATAAATAAAAATAACCATGAAAAAATGCAATGAAAACAGATGAGAGATCAGTACAGAGAAGAGAATTTGATTTGTCTCTGTAAATGTAGGTGTTACGGTCTGGTGAAAAAATTAAAATAAAATAAAATGGATTGCCCCTTGGCTTCACAAATAAAAATAAACTTAAAAAAATATTTACTGGCAATACCTGCAAACTTACAAAAGAAACAACAAAAATATGAAAATTTTACATGATATATAAACTGAATTTTTTTTAAAAAACTAATGATTCACTAGTACATTTCTATCAAGGAGAACCCAGAGTTCACACAGCTATGCATCTAGTTTGCAATATTTTAATGTTGCAAAACAATTCAGTTATTTTATAATTCCATCAAAACAATGTGTGTAACATGCTAACCTTTTAGTAAATAAGTCATAGACCATATGAAAAAGGGAGTGGCTATTGTTACGCCTTGGATTATATAAGATTTTTAATATATCATTACTGCCAGTTGAAAGAACATACAATGAATAAGATCTGAAAGTTTCAGTGCTCTTGCATTTAAGGACCAAAAGTTACAGGTGTCAAAAATTGCAAAGACTTGAGTGAAAATCAGTGTTTTAACGGCCTTACCAGCCTTAATTTCACGTTTTTAGTTAATTCAAACACTTGTAACTCTGTTGATATTCAACATTTGGAGATTATAACTCCTCCACTAGTTTATATAATACTTTTTCTTTAAACATGGACCACATAAGATGCTCAGTCCCAGTCTTCTGCTCGTTTTTCATATGGTCAATATTCAAGGTCAAAAAATCAAACTTGTATTAMATCATTAGGATGTGTATAATAATAGCTTGTTGCCAATTAATTGTATATAAAATAAGAAATAAAGTTCCACAAACTACCGGAAAATTGTGATTGCAGTATCTTTGTCCTAAAACAACGCCGAACTATGCTACTACTTTGATTGACAGTTGTCTACTTATTTATAATGTCTAGAAAGTGACATGAAATCAACAAGTTTTGTAACAGAAATATTTTATACGTTTTGCTCGAAAATTCGAGTCTTACAAATACATGTACATCGAAATAATTGCAAACTTGCCGCAAAAGAGCTTAATTTAATTGTTGTTATAAAGATCCGCTTACACCTACCACTACAGGAGAAAAAAATTAAAGGGCAAATACTAACAGAACCAATCTTCAAATATTGCWCTATTCTACTATTTTAGCAGCCACTGCATAATTCACCAGAGAACAAAAGTTTTTGACATGAAATGACAACGTAAAACTTAAAAAAAAATCCTGACAATTATTGGATTTATGTACTATTATTTTGATCTTATCTCGTCCATTATCGTCAAAGGTTCTTGGCCTGACCGTGAGAATAAAGCGCAATGATTGGGCATTTTATTGCGACTGTCGCCTGAAACTTTTGTAAGTTAGTCTATGGCGTGCACGTTGAAAATTTCTACAGCGGAGTATTTTAATAGCTTATTATTCATCCGAAATCAAAAAAAGGAATATCGATTCGCTCTAACATATAAATGCTGAACGTACTGTAGAAATAAGCGAAAATAATGACTTGYRAAATATTGATRCATACCTCTAGTGCCATCATTGTCGTTCACTTTAAGGCCATTGGACGTGACTAGTACTAGATGATCGTCCCCAAATGCCTCTCTTGCCTTTGAGCGAACGTATTCAACGTTTGCTACGTCTTCGCTAATGCTGACATAAGTCTGATTCAGTTCTTTGAACTGCACCCCTTTGCCATCCTTTGTCATATTGGCGTGTATTATCTTGGCCACTGCAGATTTCTTTTTCAAGGCACCAAACACTGGGGTTTTGAAGGTTGTGGAAGATCGCGTATTTGTCGGAGGTGCGGTGAATGAAAGTGCTGACTGCAGCGTCTGTGATGAACACGGCGTTTCTGAAGAATCTTGCATTTTATCGTCTCCCATAACAAGCAAACTGGCACCATCATCTAGGTTGCTAGAGTTAAAGCGTCCCGAATCATTCGGCCAGAAGGACATGTTTCCAAACTCCTCTTTTAAATACAGCGAACCTCCTTCCACCTGCGAAAGAGTTTGAAACAATCTGCTATCAAGAGAACCGCACAATTCGGTAGAATATATTAAGTTTAATACACTACATTTTCTCATACCTGAAATGCTCTGGCTAGACGGTTTACGGAAAGATCAGCAAGAGTTATCTTAAGCCTAAGGTCTTTTCCTTCACGACTTATATCAAATGATTTCGACATTGTCACCATATAACTTTGCGAGCTCGTAAAAGACCCTATACTAACAGTACCAAGACGTTGTGCGGAGTATCATTATCAGGCACGTGACAGAATGCGCGGGAAACGCATGACCTAACGGTGGATGTCATTGGCTATCAAGAAACGTGGAATGTCATTGGCTAACGTCAGAATTGAAAACATCTCTAAGAATTATCTTGTTTTTAATAAAATTGTCTATACCTATAAAAAGCATWCTTTTTSCTMTGATTGAGGTTGCACGTACACCCTGAAGGACAAGTTAGCGGCAATTTCAAAGGGTTTCTGAACTCATAACTCTTATTTACTATACCATCTGTCGAGATGTTTCGGTGATTGCATGTTTTCTCCTTATATAAATTTATTCGAGTTTAAATTGGACGTCAAGTCAAGGGCGGATCCAGGGAGTTGGGAGTGGAGGTGTATATTTTATTAATTTGTGTATTCTAGAATTAAGATATAAAATAAAATATATTTTCTTTTTCCGAAAGATGATAATGAGAAAAGTTATAATTAATGGACAAAATTGTGCTTCCAGTGGTATGCATCCGGGATTCCTATGCTAAGGAATTTTTAACTGGGACGGACTGGCGCTTTAAGAAAATTGAATCGGCAAGAGCACTTATTAAACTCTCGATCTGGCAGTCCTTTTTTGATCCCAAGGGGTCGCCTGGAGGTGAAGAAAGGCGCTATTGATTATCAAATGTTTTGAGAAATATTCTGCATTTCCCGGCGCTTATATTATATTAGGAAGGGACTGCGCAATATTTATCAGGAAGATGGGAGGGGGTTGAGAATCCCGAGGGGGGCAAACTCTAATTTTATGTTCTTAAGGGGGGGGGGGGGGGGGGGGGGGGGGGGGGGGGGGCACGATTTGCGACAAATCTTTATGACAACTAAAAATAATAAATTCACGGGAGCGGGAGCGAGCAATAGTCTACTTTTATTTAATTCAGTGTCACAATGGATTATAAATGGTTTTAAAAAATTCCCCTAAACTATATATATATATGGAGGGGAAATTGTTTTAAACCCATTTATAATGCATTGTGGCACTAAATAAAATAAAAGAAGAAAATTAAAGTTTTATTTTTAACTATTATTTGTTCAAAGCTATTGCTTGGGSTSTGACTCTCTSTGTGGAAGCACGTGATTCTTAGTGATGCCTGCGGAGGAGGCTCGAGATTGATGTGGTCGACTGTTTGCGCGCCAATTTGTACACTCGGTCGAAGTTCAACAGAAATGGAAAATATTTCCAAACATTTTATAGAACACCTGGTTCAGAATGAAAGAAAGACTTATCTAKAAATAAGTTCGCTACTTTGCACCCTTTATCCTGGTGTAAGAGGTTTGAGTGAGAGATCGGTGCGAAGATTTTGTTTAGAAAACAGCATATCAACAAGATCTCAAATTGACGACAACTCTTTGGATGTGATGGTTAAAGAGGTTATTATTAAGGTGAGCTTAAAGTTTCTTTATATAATGAGACTTGAACAGTGTTTATAATTTCGGCTTATAACTTGCAGTCCCGCGTGAAAGGCGCTCGATACGAACAGAAATTAAGCTAATTTAAATCTTTTGTAGTTTTTCAAACTTTACATTTAATTTCAGTTGTTCTATTGATCGTTCGGATTTGACCGTCAATTAAACTAAATTTCAGGTAGCCTGTCAATCGAACACAGGAGTTGATAAATTATCCTTTACAGGTTGGACCAACCTGGGGTAGAAAAATGGTWACAGGTTATTTGAGATCCAAAGGAATGACCCCTGGAGAACAAAGGGTTGGGTCTTCACTGGCACGTGTTGCACCATGCCACCAAGAAATGAGAAAGAACAGAGCTGAACAACTAAAGAACCCCATTCCATATAGTGCACAATACTTTGGCCATAAACTCCACGTAGACCAAAATGAAAAACTTGCTATGTATGGTGTGACACATGTGTGTGCTGTAGATGGATACAGTGGGAAAATCATAAGCCACAGTCTAATRCCAGTAAAAAACAACCTTGTCATTTATAATGACATCTACAGGTAAGCCAATTTCAGCATTGAACTCTATTTTATTTTATGTTTCACGGGATTTGCAACAATTTCAAATTTCACCTAAATTTGTTCATAGGGACTTACTGGTCTTATTTAAGGTATACTAAGAAGCCCATAAGGGGATTAATCCCCTTATGAGTTTCTGGTATACTATATACTATAAACACTGTAATTCTCTCAGCCTATTTTTCTCATAATGATAAACCAAACAACAACAACAAAAATATGATAGCAATGTGTTAAATAGCAATGTGTTAAATAGCAATGTGTTAAATAGCAATGTGTTGCACTGCATTTTTTCCCATTCATTTTCAATTATATTATTTTTGGCTGCAAATGATGATCTTAAGAAGATTTGAGTGCAGAATTTTACTGTGCATTGGTTTAACAGAATTCTAACACTAAAGTTGATGAATGCATGCCATTGCAATTAGCTGCTACATGTTAAAAAACATCCTAGTTGTAACACTCTGGTTATAAGAGTATTATGCAACTATACTTAATCTAGCTTTCTATACATTTACATATATAATACTCAATTAAATAATTGATAATATTAAATTAAATTAATTAATAATTATTAATTAAATAATATTAAAATATTAACAATTAAATAATGATTTTAATTATTCTAGATCATAAAACATTTTAAAATTAAAATGAATGGATCACTGCTCAATGTTTTGTTCACCTGCATGTATATAATTTTCATCAAGATTTA